CTGGAACCCCAAGAGCTTCTCACTGTTTGGAGATTGGGATGGCATGACCATAGCCCTTGTCTCCTAAATCCTAGAATTGTGGGGCTGAGCAGCTGTGATTCCTCTCTGGGGCTTCTGTGTTGAGAGGTCCCCCGTGTTGTCCAGAGGGTAATCTCTACTATTCAGAACCAGCTCTTGGGCTTGAACAAAAACCCCGAACATGAACGAAGACGGAGAAAGGCTTTCCTGACGTTCTATCTTAATGTGCATTCTGCATCCACTCACGAGAGCATCCTTCTCCATTATGCGTCTTGCAACCTCCAGAACTGCCCGGCTGAATGTGGCAGTTAAAAGGGGGTTAATGGAAAGCACATAAGCAAATCTAGCTAAGTCAATAAAGGGCGCCCGGAGACTGACTGTCACCAGATGGAACAGCAGGTGATTTGTTACCTCCATAGGAAACAGAACTGATGGATGAACTGTGCAAACTTAGCTCTGATTCGCTCTCTCTCTTGTCCCCCTTTGTAAAGCCATATGCTGCCCTTCCTGTCTCGTGAAGGCAGAGATGTTAGCTAGTCCCACTGAAATCGGTGCCATGACTAACTTGTCCCATGGATTTCAGTGGGGCTACCTCAGGGCCGGATTTAGGTTTGATGAGGCCCTAAGCTACTGAAGGTAATGGAGGTCTTTATATGTCCAGCTGTCCTTTGTCAACAACAAATTGTCACTGTTTTTCGTGTTGAATATATGCTATATGGTAATTTATGGACCCTAATAGGTATCTAAAGTCATTTGCACGTGCAGAATGTACGCACCCTATATATAGAAATGAGCAAACCAGTGATATTTTAGGGAGCAGGTTAGCAGGCGGGGCCCATGATTTACATCATAGAAGCCTACACAACCCAAAACAAAGCACTGTTGCTGTATGTAGGTTTTATTTAATTTGTTTTTTTGTCTTATATTTTGGAAATGTACATCCTTTTTTTTCTTTTAAATTTTTTGGGGGCCTCCAAAAGAGTGGGGCCCTAAGCTATAGCTTGTTTAGCTTATAAGTAAACCCAGCACTGGGCTACCTTTGAGTCCACCCCAGTAGTTCCAACCATAGCTGCTTAAGGCAGCTTTTAGAAGGTAGCTTTTTCTGATAGCGCTGCAGTGGGACTTAAGACAGACTGTGAACATTGCAGTTCCGCAAGGGCACAGAGCATGGTTTGGGACTCAGAATTTCACTACCTGAGAATCACAGTTTCTTTTCTTTTCTTTTTTCTTTTAAAGCAAATTTCGAACACTCAGGGTATGAAGGCACACCTGAAAGCATGTAGGCAATGCCTTACTGGAATCAGAAGCCAGGGAGGTGGCTAAACAAGATTCATAGCTCCTCGTCCTCCTTATCCACAATTCAGGATAATGGTACAATCCTTAGAAATAAGTCCCATGGAGTTCAATAAGGCTTACTCCCGAGTGAGTATGTATAGCAGGTGTGGGGAACCTCTGGTCCTCCCGATGTTGCTGAAATACAACTCCCATCAGCCCCCACAAGCATGTCCAATGGCCAGGGATGATGGGAGTTGTAGTTCAGCAACATTGGGAGGACCAGAGGTTCCCCACACCTGGCGTATAAGATTGCAGTCTAAATTATGGAAGATGGTTTTTCAAAACAAAACTATGCACTGTGCAATAAAAATAAAAAACTGCTATGTTATGCTGTTTCTTTTGTATTTTTGACATCTGTTAAATGCTTTCCTTTTCCAAGACGCATTCCAAGCAGATATTTTTATAACAGTCGGAATCTGTATTGGGTTTGAAGTTGTGTGGTATTGTTTCCCCCCCTAAATATGCAATGGTTTTTAACTGTTATTACAAGTGTGATTGTTTTACGTATGTTTTAATTGTATCGTGAATTCAAGATGCTTCGTAGGAAGGGGCCTATACACAAAACAGATAAGCGTACATTATAAGAGCAGGCATTAAGCAAAGTAAGAGGAAATACTAAAATAGGTTTGATTTGCATGATTTATACAGATCACCCCACAGAGCTTTTCTTGTCACGGGATTAGGGTTGCCTGGGTGCAGAATTTATTAATGTTGCTAATGTTGTAGTTCTAATTATTTTTCATCTCGGCGTTCGCGCAGCTCAGAAGGGACTTTGCCTTTTTCGAGCAGAAAGGGCCTTTGGGCAATTGCTCAGGCGAAGCTAAGCATGGCTTTATAACGCCAATCCTGAGACTCACAGAAGAGACAGACGGCTGCTTTGCACACACTGTTGTACCAATGGATAACGCCAGCAGCACAAACTGGTGCATAGTTTTCTATGCTGGGATCCGAATGGGGAACTACATACATTGATGCAGTTATTTCCAAGTTGCTGGATGCAATTTTGCACACACACACACACACACACAACAAGCTGATGCACACCCAGTGTGGTGGATCCACATATGCAAACTCCATTCTCCGAATCAGGGCATTTGTCCCTAATATGTACTGTATATTTATTCTTTAATAATACGGTGAATGTTTAATATAGGGTGTGACACACTAATAGCCATATTTTTACTGCCAGTGCTAATCTCAAATGACAGGAGAGACACGTCTTTTCCCTTCCCCAAGAATTCCTGCAGTCCTAGATCATCAATCACTCACTGTCATTTGTTGCCATCGGATATTAGAGCAGACTATCCTTCGGGCTGTGTCTCCCCAAGTAGCTCAAATTAACCAGGTCTTCTCTAATAGCAGGGGAGATGGAGCAGGTAGCTCATGGATTTGCGTAACATCATTGCAGAGAGACAGGAAATAGCCAACATGGAGCAGGGTGGGGAAGAATAGGAAGGTAGGATGCTGCTGCTGCTGCCCAAATGCCCCTTGTAAGAGTGCCGTTCACACATGGGTTTAGCTGACCCTAGGAAGGAAGGGGTGTGGGATGTGATACATGAGTAGCAGTCAAGTACAACATTCCTTGTTTTCCTAGAGTGGACATGCAGGGGAATGTTTGGCCCAACCAGTCAAAAACTTCCTGTTTCCTCCTGGCTGGGACATACTTCCTTTGCATGTGACTAGAGGTGGGCGTGACCTTACCTGCCCAGGTAACAAAGGATAACGTGCGAGAGTTTGCAGTTTGCTTGCCCCATCTCTTCTTGGTTGCGAGGGCAGGCTCCATGCCGAAGACCCCCAAAATTGGAGGTTGGAGGGTCAAGAAATTCATCGACGCCTCCCTTTCCATGGAGGCGCAGGCTGCAGCCACAGCAAAGGCGGCATTTTCCCATCTCCGCCGCATTAAGCAGTTGGTCCCTGACCTTTCTCGCCCTGATCTGGCCACAGTGATCCATGTGACAGTCACCTCCAGGCTTGATTATTGTAACTCGCTCTACGCGGGGCTGCCCTTGAAGCTGACCCAGAAACTCCAGCGGGTGCAGAATGCCACGGCGAGGCTCCTTACGGGGTCCTTGCCACAGGATCACATTCATCGAGTGCTTTACCAACTGCATTGGCTCCCGGTGGAGTACAGGGTCAGGTTTAAGGTGCTGGTTTTGACCCATAAAGCCCTATGCAGCCTAGGACCCACGTACCTACGGGACCACCTCTCCTGGTATGCCCCGCGGAGGACCTTAAGGTCCACAAATAACAACACTTTGGAGGTTCCGAGCTTCAAGGAGGTTAGATTGGTTTCAACTAGGGCCAGGGCCTTTTCAGCACTGGCCCCGACGTGGTGGAACACTCTGTCACAAGAGACTAGGGCCCTGCAGGACTTGACATCTTTCCGCAGGGCCTGCAAGACAGAGCTGTTCCACCTGGCCTTTGGTTTGGACTCGGTCTGGCCCTTATGTTTCCCTCCCCTTATGGTCTTGATTTATCAGCTACTTTAAAATGAGGCTGCATTTTAAATTGCATTTTAACCTGTATTTTAAATTGGGTTCCCCCCCTCTTTTTCCCCTATTATGTTTTTACCGTGGTTTTATTGGTGTTAGCCGCCCTGAGCCCAGCTCTGGCCGGGGAGGGCGGGGTATAAATAAATATTATTATTATTATTAATCCCTAGATGCTTCAGGTAAGAAGAAATAAAGGAGCTGTCCAGCACAGGGATGGGCTGGGGATCTGGGGAAATAGCATTTTCCCATGGCACCATACTTTGAAAATGAAACCACACTGATCCTGTCCATGCATTGAGGTTGAATTCTGAAAAGACAGAAGTACTGTTTTGGGGGGACAGGGGGCGGGCGGGTGTGGGGGATTCCCTGGTCCTGAATGGGGTAACTGTGCCCCTGAAGGACCAGGTGCGCAGCCTGGGAGTCATTTTGGACTCACAGCTGTCCATGGAGGCGCAGGTTAATTCTGTGTCCAGGGCAGCTGTCTACCAGCTCCATCTGGTACGCAGGCTGAGACCCTACCTGCCCGCGGACTGTCTCGCCAGAGTGGTGCATGCTCTGGTTATCTCCCGCTTGGACTACTGCAACGCGCTCTACGTGGGGCTACCTTTGAAGGTGACCCCAAAACTGCAATTAATCCAGAATGCGGCAGCTAGACTGGTGACTGGGAGTGGCCGCCAGGACCACATAACACCGGTCCTGAGAGATCTGCATTGGCTCCCAGTACGTTTCCGAGCACGATTCAAAGTGTTGGTGCTGACCTTTAAAGCCCTAAACAGCCTCTGTCCTGTATACCTGAAGGAGCGTCTCCACCCCTATCATTCAGCCCGGACACTGAAGTCCAGCGCTTAGGGCCTTCTGGCAGTTCCCTCATTGCAAGAAGTGAGGTTACAGGGAACCAGACAGAGGGCCTTCTCGGTAGTGGCACCCGCCCTGTGGAACACCCTCCCTTCAGATGTCAAGGAAATAAGCAGCTATCCTATCTTTAAAAGACATCTGAAGGCAGCCCTATTCAGGGAAGTTTTTAATATTTAATGCTGTACTGTTTTTAACACTTGATTGGGAGCCGCCCAGAGTGGCTGGGGAAACTCAGCCAGACGGGCGGGGTATAAATAATAAATAATAATAATTATTATTATTATTCTCTTGGTCTCTTAGGGATGACTTGCCAAGCCAGGACCTCCTACACAGAAGATGAAGTCCTCTGGGGCCACCGGTTCCTCCCTGTGATGTCGCTGGAAGATGGTTTCTTCCGCGTGGATTACTCTCAGTTCCACGGAACGTTTGAAGTCCCCACTCCCCCTTACAGTGTGAAGGAGCAGGAAGAAAACCTCTCTCTCCCTTCGCCTTTGAACACGCCGACAGGGAGCAACAGAAGCCGGAGGGAAAAGATCTCCTCCCTCGATTGCCTCGATTTTTTCGAAGAAAAAGGCAACAGGCTCCCCAGCAAATTCCAGAAAATCTGCTCCGGGAAACGGGAGCTCCACAGAGGAGTCCTCAGCCTCTGCTCCAGCAACGTGGAGAAAGCATGTAGCACGGGAGATCTGCTCAAAATCCAGCAGATCACCTCCGTCTGCGGCACCGAAGACGGGGGCGAGAAGCTGATGTCGGCAGCCTTCAAAACCAAATCGGAGCTGCTGGCTCGCTCCACCGGGAACCTCGAACTCCAGCAAAGGCCTCAAACCTTGCTCACCTTGGGAGCGGCGTTAGATCATGAGAATTTGCCTGCCAAGCTGCGGAAAATGAACTCGGGACACCTGTCCTAAACAGGAGCGGAAGCCTAAATGAGCTGCAGTTTTCATTTAAAACTCCTGGATTTCTCGGGTTACTACTGTGAAGACCCCCTGAGCTATGCCCATGCGCTAGCAATGGCCGTCCAATTTAAACGAGAATTTTTTTAAAAAACACACAGAGAGCGCTTCAACCCACAACCCATTGTAGTTATGTAACAGGGGGTTGTTGGTTGCTTACGTGGCAGTGTAAGTAAGAAGAAAAAATCTCTTGAAGATACTGTTGGGTCTTCTATTTTCTTTTCCTTTCTAAAGCATGCCTATTTAGTACCATTTCCTCTGACTTGCCCCTTTAAAGAAGCAATTGTTCTATAACAAGAGTACCTCTGAGTATGTACAGAGGGCTGCTCTCTCAAGCAACTGCAGCGTGTCCTTGAACACCTATGAAGCTACACAAAAGGGCCTGCTTTGTGGGCTTTTTAAAGAAGCTACACACCAGCCACACCCCTCGGGAGCCTCTCAGGAACCCACAGAGAACTGCTGCTGTGCTGCATGAGGCACCACCACCGATAAGGCCCTGCCTCTGACAGACACACGTCTCGCTTTAGCTGATACGTGCAGCCATTGTACACACAGGGATTAAATGAACATGATCCACAGGAGTTTGTCGAAAAGCACAGAACAATCTAAAGAGGGGGGGATTATTACAGACCAACATGGCTTCCTTTGTTTTTTATGTGCCTTGAAGATTATTGAATCTAGCTGTTCGGAAACAAGAGCTACAGTCGAATGAAGATGGTTTTTCTACCACCTCAAGGGGGACTTGTGGAGGACCACGTGCCCTCCAGCCACTAGGTAACGCTACCAAATTTAGCTTCACTTGACTTTATCGCCTGAAATAAATCTCCGGCTTTGCTCATAGGAAGACTGCCATGCTGCTCTCCACCAGGTCAATTCTCTGCCTTAGACGGAGACAGTGTGTTTCGCTTTTAAGGCTGGAGACAGGGTAACGGCTGGTTTTAGAATTAGCAGAAACTGGGTGGTTCTCCCATTGCCTCTTTGCCTCTTGCAACACCTAGAAAAGGTTAATCCAACCAAGCTTGCCATCTTAAGACTGAATCTAGGTGCAGAAAACTTGGGGCTAAGCCAATAGTACGTCTCCTCTTCTTCTGTCTCCCCACCCCTTCGACTGCTTTGCGTAGCATCTCTCCCAATGAAGGGTTTCTGGAGAACTTGAAAGCTCGCTCCCTATTTTGTGGTTGGTCCGCCTAAATAAAGGTCTTCTTGCCCGAGTGTGAATTTTGGTGGTGGAACTGAAAAGGGAGAAAAGGGGAGGCGAACGAAAATGAGCGGTTGAAGTGAGGGCGAGAGACGACTGCGCACTTTACAAAGCAAAAACATGTCCTTATCTAAAATATTGTTACAAAAGTTGGGTGCCTCTCCCTCTCTCTGCCAAGCGGTGGCAAAAGCCCTGGGGGTTCAGGCACTCACCTGGGGTCTGTGTTCCTTTGGAGAACTGAGACATGGCAGAGACTGTCGTAGCTTTAAGAAATATGATTTATTCACCTATTTACACCTTCAGTCTGCGTGAAGGGAGTCCAGGTCTTACAACATGGTCGTTTCAAGAGGGGCTTGTGCCCAACAGCAGTGCAGCCATGGGGTCCCAGGTATCTCTCCCAGCCAGCCTGCAGAAGATAGATCCCAGCCTTTCTTCTTCCCAGAATGCCCTGCTAAAATACTCCCTTTTCTTGTCACCCAGTTACACTGTCAAGCCTTCCAAACTCCCTGTCTCTGTTCACACCCCAGGGCAAGTGGGGAGGACAGTTCTCCTGTACAGTGGTACCTCGGGTTACATACGCTTCAGGTTACAGACTCTGCTAACCCAGAAATAGTGCTTCAGGTTAAGAACTTTACCTCAGGATGAGAACAGAAATCGTGTGGCGGCAGCGGGAGGCCCCATTAGCTAAAGTGGTGCTTCAGGTTAAGAACAGTTTCAGGTTAAGAACGGACCTCCGGAACGAATTAAGTACTTAACCTGAGGTACCACTGTATTGCCAGTAGCCCTCTGTTGTTTCTTAATCAAACCCCCCTCCCCCGAAAAATATATAACAGTATCATCCACATCATCATTAAATTGATTACCTGCCCTTTCCCAGTAGGGAAATTCCGTACTGCTTTTTGGAAATTCCACCAGGATGCTATTTCCAACGGATGAACCCCAGATTTTGCTTGTTTTACCTTTACCTTACCTTTACGTGAAATCTCTAAAGGTAAAGATGCCCCCTTTTTCTTTTCTTTTTTTCTTAGTTTCCTGTTCTTCATTTATTGAATTTATATACCGCCCTGTACCCGGAGGCCTCAGGGCGGTTCACAGAAAAGATCACAATATGTAAAATAAAAATAAAAACAATACTCAAATAACACACCCCCCCCAAGAAAGAGCCACATTTTAAAGGGTATGTGGTGTTGATCAGGTCAACTGAAGGCCTGGTTAAAAAGGAACGTTTTTGCGTGGCGCCTAAAGGTGTGTAATGAAGGCACCAGGCGAACTTCCCTGGGGAGAGCATTCCACAGACGGGGAGCCACTGCAGAGAAGGCCCCGTTCTCGTGTTGCCACCCTCCGGACCTCTTGAGGAGGAGGCACCTGAAGGAGGGCCTCAGAAGATGATCTCAGAGTCCGGGTAGGTTCATATGGAAAGAGGCGGTCCTTGAGGTATTGAATATACTGTAAATCAAAATAAATAACTACAAACCTTTTGGCTAGCAGTGTTGCTCAACTAGACCTGCTTAGACATGGGAATTTTCGTCTGAGGTAGCCATCCTGGAAACAGAAGCAAGATGGTCTTTACATAGCTAATCCAGGACACTTGTCTCTGGGACACACACACACACAATTCCCCCTGCAAGGGAATGCAGTCTTTGATGGGGAAAGGATGCTTGCCCCTGTATTACAACATGGAATGAAGCATCCCTGCGCTTGATGCAAGGAATATAGGGATATTTTCCCATCCAGACCTCAGCAGCTGCTCATACAACCAGATGCCAGGACACTATTTCCCACCTGCTCTCCGTCGTCCATTGTGACAATTTCCAGAGGGCTAGCTGCGTTAGTATGCAGCAAAAAGCCGACACTATAAACCAAGCCTTGCGGCATCATAAAGAGTAACAGCTTTATTGTGGCTTATGCCGTAAAGGATTATCTCATAATAAATCTGTTCGTTGGTAAGGTACCACACAAGGTTTTTTTCATCTAAGTACGTCACTTCTTTATTTTAAAGAGGGGGGGGTGAGGTGAGGGTTTTTTTCAAACCACAAAGACTGAATACACACCATATATTTAAAGCGCATTCCCTTTCCACCAAGGAGCCCTGGGAATTCTAGTTTACCCTATCACAGAGGCCTTAAGTAAGACAATGCCCAGAACCCTTAACAAACTACAGTTCCCAGAATCCTTGAGGGGGGTGCTTTAAATGTATGCCATGTACGCAGCCAATGGTCACAGCCACGCGATACATTTAAAGCCCATGGTTGTCCCCCAAAATCCTGGGACCTGTGGTTTGTTAAGCATGCTGGGAATTGCAGCTCTGTGGGGGTAAACCACAGCTCGCAGGATTATTTGGCGGGGGGCGCCATGTGATTTAAAGGTTTAGCATGTGCACAGCCAAAGTTGGAGACTTGTGGCTCTTCATACGTTGCTGGACTCCAACCAGGGCATTTTATATATATATTTCAAAACCCTAAAAAAAGGTTGAGAAAATTCCGCTCAAATTCCCCCAACACTGAACTCAAACTTCCTCACCAGTAAGGTGCCCTCTCAGTTTAGTTAGGGGACTGTTTTACAGAAGGTATTCAAGCCATTCTGGGCAGCTTCCAACATATATGAAAACATAATAAAACATTAAACATTAAAAAACTTCCCTGTGCAGAGCTGCCTTCAGACATCTTCTAAAGGTTGTATAGTTACTTATCTCCTTGGCTGAAGGATTGCATAACTCCGTACCCACCAACATTTCTCCGATGAAAATAGGGACATCCTAAGGAAAAGCGGGACATTCTGGGATCAAATCAGAAAGTGGGATTGCTTCTGTAAATCCGGGACTGTCCCTGGAAAATAGGGGCACTTGGAGGGTCTGCTATATATATGCCACCTTGAAGTCCCTGAAGGAAAGATGGGATATACCGTATTTTTTGCTCTATAAGACACACTTTTTCCCTCCTAAAAAGTAAGGGGAAATGTGTGTGCGTCTTATGGAGCGAATGCAGGCTGCGCAGCTATCCCAGAAGCCAGACAGCAAGAGGGATTGCTGCTTTCGCTGCGCAGTGATCCCTCTTGCTGTTCTGGCTTCTGAGATTCAGAATATTTTTTTTCTTGTTTTCCTCCTCCAAAAACTAGGTGCGTCTTATGGTCTGGTGCGTCTTATAGAGCGAAAAATACGGTAGGTGTGATGAATCAACTAAAATAAATACAATCAGAAGTGGACAGAAAACAATCATACCCAGCCTATTGAACTAGTTCTGGTGCTAGAGGGGGGGGAGAGAAGAGAAAGGGAATCTCACGCTGGCTGTGTACACATTCCCGTTTAATCTGCATCCAGTGCTCTTCTGCAACTGGTCTCATAAGCGGTGCACATAAGATACTCACCACAATCCAGATCTATCCTGTATCCAGCCTGTTGCTTCATATGACGCACTGCCTTTTGACGGTTCCTCCCCCCCCTCCCCAAAACCAGTTTCCATCTGATTGAGAAAAAGAATAACCGAGCTGTTTTAAGATAGACACTGCGTACGCAGTCCCTGCCTTGCTAAATACATAATAAATAAGAGTGTGCTTTGAACTCCTGGAGAAGATGAGGAGAGAGATTGCTTTCATGTACTTTGGGGGTTTTTCTATACTGCCTGCATTAATTTTTTTCTGAATCTATTCCCAACCCCATTTTCCCCCAAAGCTACAGATGATGGTGCAGTCTGCTAAGTATGTAATCTCCTGCCCTTCCGCAGACAAAAAGTCTTGCCCCCATCTTAATAAACAGGCAGCCCTAAAAGCCAACAGGGAGATCTTACCAAAAGGCAAGAGCCAATCCGAGTACCTCCATGGCCTCAAGAGACCGGAAGGCCTAGCTTTGAAGGTGAGATGTTGAGAGGTTAAAGTCCGCAGCCAAGCAGCCTGAGAAAATCGGGCCTGCATGACGTCAACTGTGGCGGGGAGGAAAGCATGCAGAAATCCAACAGGCCTTTGCAAAACGTCTCTGGTCAACAAGTTCCTTCTGCAAAGCATTCCTCGGCTGCTGCCATCACTACCACCATTTGGTCAGGGAAAGCTGTTTGGGAATTGAAAGAGAGGTTGGGGGACACACACCACTTCTCAAAGCAGAAAAGAGCTGATTTTTTAAAAACGAGGACAGATCACTCTGCCCCCCCAACCAACAAAAATTAGAATCACAGAATCAGAAGGAAAATTTAAAAAGTTACAAAAATTGGGTGCCTCTCCCTCTCTCCACTGAGCAGTGGAAAGAGCCCAGGGGGTTCCAGGGTCTGTGTGCCTCTGGAGAATTCAATAATAATAATAATAATAATAATAATAATAATAATTTATTTATTTATACCCCGCCCATCTGGCTGGGCTTCCCCAGCGACTCTGGGTGGCTTTCAACAAAATATTAAAATACAGCAATGCATCAAACATTAAAAGCTTCCCTAAATTCAAGACACGGTGGAGATTCTCATAGCTGTAAGAAATAGGGTTCATTCACCTATTTACACCTTCAGCCTGCATGGAGGGAGTCCAGATCTTACAGCATTGGCCCCCACACAGAGCTGCCAACGTTTCCCTACACAGGTGCAATTGTATAGATGCTCCCATTAGCTGCGTTCCCCATCACCGGAAAAAGAAAGGACGGAGAAAGAATAGTTGGTAAATTGCGCCCTCTGGTGACAGCGAACCACAACTGCAGAAGATAAATACTGCACTTCAGGCAATGAAAATGTAAGCTGAGAAAGCTGTCAGAAGAACCGACACATCCGCTAACACAATATTTGCCTTTGAGGTACAGCTTCCCTGAGCATTTAAAAAAAAGAAAAAGAAACAAAACTGCAATTGGATTTTTATTTTATTTTTATGCAACATCCACCCATTAAGGCAGTTGCTCTGGCAAATATTGTCTGGCCACATTTTGTACAGTACAGAATGCGCTATGGAAATATCTAGGGAGGCATTAGGAAGCAAAGGAGAGGGAGCTCTTGAGCGAAGGGGCCCTGGAATGACGAACAGAAGCTGGAGAACCGTTCCACCCTCC